TCTCTTTAAAAGCAGGCTGTGTAGCACTGAACAACCCAAGAGAAAAAAAAACCCTGCGGCGGGGGAGCGCCAGGCCGGTGGGCTGTGGCAGCCATGGAAGGCCCCATTTCCCCACCGCTCCTGAGGCGAGGCGAGAGGGGCTTTCCCTCCACAACAACCTCCCCTCAGCGCGGCGGGCCCTGGGCTCACGGCCGACATGGCCCCGCCAGGCCTTTCCACCCGATTTCAGAGGGACTGAGGTGCAGGGAAGCCCAGCCTCGGCTGCTGCTCCGTGTCCTTCTCCGCTTAATGTCCCGTCCTGTCCGAGGCAGGGCCACCCTGTTTAATGGGAAGGCTGTTTAATGGCGCCTTGGTGGGGGCAGCCTACCCCGGGGCCATGCCCCAGCTCCCCCCCGAGCGCAAGCAGACAGGGCCCGCCTCACCCGCTGGCATAAGGTCTCGCCACCTCAAGGCCTCAGCGCATAAATTTTCGATTTACATTCCCTCAGCACCACAACATTAAGGTAACTTTTCTTTGGTGATGCACAAATGGCTGACCATGTCTCCGGTACCACAGCGGCGAGAAAGGTGGGTGTTCAGAAGTTTACGTGTTGACAGTGAAGACAAACGCAAGTGTCTTGCAATGAAAATAAATAAATAAATAAATAAATAAGCAAAAAGAAGAAAAAGAAACAGCTTTCTAAATAAATAACAGTCGGGGGGAAAAAAAAAAAAAAAAAAAAAGATTCCATGCCATCAGGAAAAAACAGGGTGGATTGTGCAGGGAGAGCAGAAAAAAAAAAGATGAAAATTGTAGTCAGCATAGATACTTGCCCAAAGAATGAAAGAAGAGTCTGGTCCAGTCATCTGCAGAAGTTATTCCGATCACTCTCTGTGCCTGCAGAAACTAAATGAAGAAGAAGAAAGAATATAAGCACTCCACTTTTAGTTGTTTGTTGTCTCTTTTTTTTCTTTTTACATTTCTTGGGACATATGTCTAATGCCCCAGATTATCTTGTATTTAATTTTTTTCTCTGAATATAAATACATTGCCTATGCATATACCACGAATACACAATAATGAAACTATGACTTATTTACCTGCTAGGGGAAAGCTAATAAGTGTTCTAGTAATGAAAACTGCTTCACTGGCTTGCAAAATGCAAAACAGCAGGGAACTCACTGGAGATCACACACGCATATGTCAATAAACTTACGTTATTCACAAACACACAAGTCTCCCAAGAGAACAGTTTCCCAGCCTCCTTTCATTTCCTGACTGCCTCACATTTTGAGCAAAGTCAGAGACTAATTTTCTATCTATCTTCCTCAAGCCTCTAAAGTTTATGCACAAGCCATATGATGATATGAAAAACTTTCCATTCAGATGCAAACTGAATATTTTATCAGCTAATACTTCATATTTTCCAATCTACAAGTATTAATACATATGATGGCAATACAGGACAATTGTATGCATAACCATAAACATCTGAACATAAATAACATTTTACCAGAGTGCTCTAGCAATGCACTCAGGCACAGCACGGATACAGTATACTCTCATTCATAATGATGTTCTCTATTTCTCTCCTTTGCATCAATCCTGACAATATTAACATCCGTAGCAATCACTGACCAGTCTCATGTCAACACTTCCAGTGTACATCGCCAAGCTCTGCAGTGTGTTAAGAGTAACAGCTAAGGTGCTAATCCCCACCAAAGGTGATCGTTCAGCCAAAATTCAGATCAAAGTGTTAAGACTTTAACAAAAAAAAAACAAAACAAAACAAAAAAAAATTAGACTACAAGTCCAGACATATCCTGTCATAACAAGATTGAAATGACTGTATTTCATGTCCCCCTTCATTATAAATCCATTTGCCATCCTTTCTAATAGCCAGCCTACCCTCAGAAAAAAATTATTTGATGTTCCTGTGGATGTCATATGCGCCCTGTGCTTGTATAGCACTTCTATGTAATTCAACATTAATTATCTTTCCAATTAATGTACTGCATAATGTTGCAATATGAAATGCTTGCATTTTGTAAATGAGAAAATTGAGCTCAGTTCTGTCTGCTTTGATCCCATTTTACTTTTATTATAATTCAGTACCAGAATTCTTTTCCTTTTTGGTTGGGTTATTGACACCCTGAACACACACAAGGGAGCCATCCCTTGCATACAAAAGATACATTTATGCTTCTCTTTTCTGAGAAGACCTCCAATTTCTCTTTTTCAATATCGTTTCAATATACTTTCCTGCCTTATGATTATTACTGAACAGATCATAAGGGAAATGGAGGTGACAGAAGTACTAATAGAGCCACATTTACCAGCTACCATAAATGTAGACATCATAAATACCTACAACTGGTGGAAAATGGTAAGTGTGAAGCAGGTCAGAAATATAGAAAAAATTAAATCAAAACTGTGGTTGAGGAGTGGAAAAAAAACAATTCTTTAGCAGCTGAATGATCCAACATATTCCTTAAACGTTCCGTGTCAAAAATACCATTTAAAGTTTTACTGCTGACTATCATAATAAAAAGTATAAAAGCAAAAACATATATAAAGTATAAAATATAGAAATGGAAATTACATAACCAAAATTGCTCCTTATATGCATGGCTGAAGGAATATATGACTGGTGATTTTCCACAATGAGGAGTTTAATTTTTCCGCTGGGTTTGAAACTTTTGTTTAGTTTAGCTGCTGTCAATAGCTGCAATCACTGTGGGCTGCTGGATTTGACATTCAATGCCACCAACTCAAAGCACTTCACAGCGCTTTTTCGTCATGAATGCGCTTTGGTGCTTGAGGAAGGTACAAATTCTCCCTTTCTCCGGTGACATCATGTCTCGCTTTCTTCCCTGTTACCCCACCACATAATTTTTAACAGAACCGAACCTACAACACACAGAAAGCTGCAAAAAAAATCAGTCCCCCCTCACACTCACTAGTCTTATACTCGATGTTCTTTAATGTCCATCATTAGCTGGCAAATACTGAGTATGTGAATACACACTGAGAAGAAGGTGCAGATCAGATGAAAGGAATTTAAGAATGTCACCTACAAAATATTCCCTCAGTTAGCTAAACAACCTCAGCTTGGATAACCTTACTGGTCAAAAGGTGTAAAAATTTAAGAGTAGCCTATTTAGCATCTTGAGATAGGATTTCTTCTTGAACTGCCCTGGAATACTTCACTGTAATCTTGAACTGAGAAATACGGCAGTCTAAATGGACAGGCTGGCTATTATTGATCTGTCAGTAATTCGGGCAGCCTACTTTAATGGGAAATAGTGCTCCTGGTTCAACATTATCCTCAAGCAAAGTCTTTTGAACTTCCTTTTATTAATTGCTTAGCAATCATCTTGACCTACTGCTGCAGCAGGTACTGCTGAGGCACATAGCCATAGAATGCTGCTGTTTTTTCTAGCACCTGTGTAAAGCTTATAAGGAACGTCAGATTTGTTTGTTATAGCTTTAGCAACCTGAAACTTTCATTTCCTTGGTATTAAGTCACTTCGTTCTGATAGAGCTTGGTTTTGTGTGTTCTGTATTGCTCTTCAGTCCTCACCAGTACCCCACTTTTGGTTTACTTATTTTAAATGTTCATTATTACAGCTGTTAACTTTGAACGCAAATTCACTTTTGCATCCATCCGTTCTTCCCACCATGTGAATGCCAGTCTTTGGGACACTGGCATCTTAGCTAGTCAACCTGAAAGACCAACAGCTGGAGAGTTTTTGTGCCCTCGGTGAGCTGTATGAAGTTTTCATTGCTACAGCAAACATTACTAGAACAGGACAAGAAAATTAAAAGAGGAATATGCCAGGAAAGACAGAAAAAAAAAAAAAGATTTTGTAGAGATCTGACTAAAAAATGACAAGACATTCTTAACTATGCATTGAAGTTAATTCCTTTGTCACTGGCAGACTTTTAGAAAGGGCTTCTTATTAGCACTGAGTGACTGGGAGTTTGTTGTGCTTACCATCAGCTAACAAAGTGTGCAGCAGAAGGTCCCACGGAGTCCATCTATGTCAACACCTCCAGCACCCAGTAGTTGAGTTTTCAGCCTGGCTAAGCTATATTCTTTACCCAACACTGCTGGAACAAAACAGTCCTTCTGGCAAGTGATCTACCACGTTTAAGACAATTATTTATTAGACAGAAGCTGACAAACTATGAAGAGGAAGACTGTAACCTCCCCTACTGGCTAAATTAACAACAGTGTGCCCATTACCCATATATTCCTTTGCTGAGCACTTTTTCCTTTGTATTCCTTCTCTTTGGAGATGAAGAGATGCCTCAGGTGGAGAAAACAACCAAAGGCTGGTGTTTAACCAGCCTCCCCAGGGAAAACTGCAGCCTAAAAAGGAAGCACCATTCATGAGACCATTCAATGTTCAACCATCTTGTGCCCACAGGTCTTCTGGCACCACCAAAGGACAGTCATTCTGTTCTGGCCAGTGGCACTTCAAAGTTCCCAGACAGACGTCCAGAACAAATCCACATCCTGGCTCTGAGATCGTATGTACTACTGTTAGGCATAAAGTAACCCAGGCAAACCCAGGCAGAGGCTCCATTTCCAGGGTTATACAAGTCGCACGCTTCCTTCCCTAATGTCTAAAACATCCTTTCTTCCAGGCAAGTCAACCAGATGGTTACCAACACCCTTGCCCTGATACCATAAAGTGGCTTCCCCCACTCCTGCCCAGGCAGGAGCATCTCCATTCACTTCCTCAACATCCAAAGCAGGGTGGGTGCTCAGGAGTCCAAATCATCACGTGGACAAAACCCAGTGTCAACATAGGTCTCCAATTTCCCCCACGAGTAACCCTGTGTTGAGGTTAAGTGACAAAGCATGCCACCATCCGGAGGGGGACTCCAACCTCCATAAGGAATTCCTTCAATGTCCAAGGCAATTCCTTCAATTGCTCGGAAGGAAATCTCACGCTACCAAAGGAAAGAAAAATACTCATGCCAAAAGGGGAAGAAAATTTCCACCACTGAGTTCCTTTGCTTTTTTCTCACATTTATCAGTACACAGAAAGTAGCAAAATACAACTACAACCAGACCTGTTGAAAGCTCATTTTACAATACAAACTTAGAAATTAAAATTATATGTGAATACTATGAACTTAGAAATTAAGAATCAAAATGACACTTTGTGATTGTTTTAAAAAATCCCTTGGAAAATCACTTCCAACATACTAAATGCATTTCTAGTGATTTCAGCAGGATTAAGTACTGCATATATATTCCACACAGGATTCTACCAGGTAACATGAAACCATTGCTAAAAATCAGTGTTAAAAAACAAGTGAGGCCAAAGAACTACAGGTCATTTAAAAGAATCCAGTGAAGTCAGTTACATTAACTGTACAAGCAAGAAATGCTTGTGTAAGTTAAACTGGCAGAAACAGGTTTGCAAATTGCAAAGATTTTCAAAATTTTAAATCAGATATTGTTGTGGTTTCTCTTTTAGTTCATAAAAGTGAAAGAAAAGCAGCCTGAATATGAGTTTTTTCAGTAAAGGAGGTTCAGGCCTTGCAGTACACATCGTATTTTAACTTCGCTCCCAGCTTAGTTCCTTCTAAGCACACTTTGAATTTGGCATCCATTTCCTGGTTCTGAGCTTCAGAGAAAAGATTTTTCCAGTCTCCAACAACACCTGGAATATAAAGAAAATTAAAGTATTACTCTTGCCTGTAAGGACTAAGGAGTATGATTTAAAGCAAAAAACTACTTCGTCTCTCTTATTATATTTCAGGATAATCCCTTCTTTTTTTTTTTTTTTTTTCCTTCCTGCAAGAAAATAGTCTTTGACCCAAGAATACACCCTTATGTTTGGTGTCCTCAATAGAATGTGAACATAAAGTAAACATAGGAAGCCACTGGTCTGCCTTCACAGCTTTGGCATGTACCTTGTACAGCTGCAGAAGACCAGAAGAGATAACCAGCAGTTGTGAAACCAACTCAGAAAGTTAAAAAATTTGGCTTTTAACTGCAAGAGCTTTGTGCACTGCAACCAGACACTGACCTAAACTGCAGTCTACCCTTAATCTAGATTTTGGAGAGCCCACACTCTCAAGTTGTCTGTCTACAGCTCTAGCTTGATCCACGACTAAAAGACACAGCTCAAACTGTGGAGTTTCTGGATTCCACGTGTCGCCTGAAGTTCCTAAGCAATCGCTAGGGTTATTTGGAAAACCCAAGAGGAAACATCTGTGGAGGCACTCTGCAGATCGAGTGCCAGGCTATCCCCAGTATTCACAGAAGCCAAAATAAAACTTTTGTTTTAATTGGTGCTTACTGCATACCCTGACTGAAGGGAGTGCTACTTGTAGAGCACTTCTGCTAATCGCATTACACAGGGCTTTACCAAATGGTACTGGCCATTGTGATGAAATCAAGTGACAGCGTCTTGAAGCACGATCAGTGATTCTTAAACAACTCCCAACCTTGAAAATTATACAGAAAGATTAACCACCTACTGATCCAAATTCCTGTCTGCCCAAGCCACGGTGCTACCACTCACCACACCAGCAAAATACAAATTTACCTCTGCGGAAAAGAATTGAGCCAACAGCACCGTGGGTCTCCTCAGCCTTATCCTTCACTGCCTGGAAAGTGGCCCTGTGTGCAATGGCCTGGATCTGCTCTGCCGTTGGGGAGAATCCAAAGAATTCAGCTCTCTGCTTTACACTGGCAGGCAGGTCCTGAAAGCAATACAGTGAAAGGGAGACGTACAATATGTTTCCTCCAGAAAAGGAGTTACCCACTTGGGGTGTGCATTGCCATCAGCTATTAACAATATGTATTTTCCTTCACAGTATGCTTTCTGCATTACACTGGAGGTCAGCTTTTATATAGCCAGACTCAACTTGTTTCTCAAATCAACTTGATTTCGCTCCTTCAGAAACTTGTGCCTTTTGATGTTAATTTCAGCAGATTTCAAGGAGCGGGCTCAGATGTATTTTGCCTGTCAGTACACAGCGTCTGCTTTACCTCTTTCAGGTCTTCATATATTATGATCATAGTATTCTCATCTGCAATGTGTTTGTTCCAGGTGACTGCATGATCAAAATAGGATCCCCAGCCGACTGTAAAGAAGGTCAGCAAACATCAGTGTGACCTTCTTTTCTTACCAAGCACTTATTTCTCTCTGACTGAAGAACTGCCTTCTGTTGCTTACCAGTTCCATTGATGAAAACAAACAGAACAGCCTGTCCTTTCCACAGTACCGTGCTGTACAACAGAGGAACAGAGGCTTCCTCTGGGCTTTTGTAGGTAAATGGTTTCCCCACGGAAATATGAATTTCACTATGTGCTTCCCCTCTGTTACTATCTTGTCATTTAAACATCTCTTAAAAGCCAAAGCCAAGACATCAGTCTAAATCTAGGATTTGGGTTGCTAATGAGGTGTGCAAAACCAGTAAAGACAACAAACTGTCACTTCATTACCATTTCAGATCTGTAGCATTTCCTCCATCACTAGCTGCAGAATTTTGACCCAATGCCATTGTCAAGCTGCCATGCAACCCACTCACCCTGGCCTGGAAGAGCAAAATACCCAGAAGCAAAGCATCTTTTGGATATTCTGGCATTCAGCTGCCTCCTTTATCATGATGTATGACCATCAGTAAACTAATTATGACACAGCTGTTTTCCCAGTGGCCCCATTTAGTGGTTTTTAAGTATTTTAATTTTTCTGTTACTTATTCAGCTACATTCAGTAACTGTAACAATACCTTTCCCATTCATGAACTCTGAGAAGAACTCAACCCAGGAGCTGTCACTGGGGACGCTTGACACATTGTTGTGGAAATGGAAAAAAGAAACAGCTGTATCTTTAGGGTTTTGAAACAGCACTAGTATCTGGAGTGGGAGAAAGAGGTCAACAATGTTACATCACTTATTTCCCCTGGCAACCAAAATATGAGTATAACCAAACATTCTGCAATCAATAACATACCGGGGGCTATAAAACATTTTATTACTTAAAGCACAGAGAACAAATTTATAACGTGATCATAATAAAGATCTTGTTACCACTTCTAAGATTTGCTTATGTCATGAATCAATTGTAGAAAGAAGCAACTGGAAAAACTGCAATATTTTCATTGAATACTATCCCATAACTACCCAAGACTTGGGAAATTATTAGGAACCATTTGCCAAACCCCTGCTAGGAAAAGCTCAGTTCGATTCTGCTTCAGGAAACCACAGCTGTTACAATCATCTCCCATTTTTCAAAGCATGGCAATAATGTACTTGAAATCCTAAGAGACTGTAATTCTCAGAGAAGCATAAACACTTCTGAAAACAAGTTATACACATTTTTTTTTTTGTTATACACGTTACATTTTTTCCTACCTCATACAGGAAAAAATACCAATGAAACATGGAAAAAAATCCTCATCCCTTCATCAATTATTCCTTCATCTGTGGTACATCTCCTAAGTGCTATGTATCTGCTATTGTTCAGCGACTGAGTACCAGAAATATTAAAGTTTTAACACTGTGACTCTTTGCAAGGAGACAGCCAACGTCCCAGAGACACTGCTGCCACATTCATCCCCACCACGGTTGTGCACAGAAAAGAGTAGCATAAAAAAGTGTGACACTCCAGCCATTTCTGAGCACTGCAACAGCCTCTGGATCTGTTCTTGTTTATGCCAGCTGCAGCATCCCTAAGGCTGCCGTAAATTGTAGGGGGTGCTAAGCCAGCCCAGGTGTCATGAGACTCCCACTGCCTGCAAGTTGCTCTCCCCCAGTGCCACTTGCTTGGGTGCAAGAAAAGGATGTGGCCCCAGAATTACTCTCGCACGCTGGTACTGTCAGAGAGATGAGGCTTGTTCTTAGAAAAAGAAAAAAGCCCACCTTGGCTTTATTCTTGAAAATAGACTTGGGAAGGCAATCGTAATTCAGATGTGTTGCCAAAATCCTTGGAGATGGAATCTGCTTCATCCTCTTTAGAAATAAACAGAACCATAAGTACAGGTTTATTACATGGGTGCAACAATGATCTGTGAGAGACGCCTATGGGAAACCACCCCTAATCGAAATGCATTAGTCATTCAAGAATATCTCTTTTCCCCTCTCAGGAGAAATATCTTTACTTGCTGCATGACTTCATTTTAATAACTTGTGTGCGTGGGTGCAGGAGAGAGAAAACAACAAGTGGTCCACTAGTTTCTTTTCACTAACCTGATACTTATCTGGAACTCCACATTCAATAAATGGTAGTTCTGCGCTTACAGGTTTACTCTGGACAGTTGTAAATATGAAATCACTTGAAATCTGGATAAGCCAGTTGACACCTGCAGCAAGAAACCCAGAGAACAAAATAAAATGTATCAGAGGTTTACATAAGATCTCAGAGCCTTCTCATTACATGGCTTAATTCAGCATAATAGGGAGTCATCAGATAACAAATAACACTAAAGTTCTCAAATGATTATAAACAAAACAATGCTTTCCATTCATGAGATCCTCAATAGCTTCTTAACTATGATCTTCTTGGCTCATTCAAAATTGGTATGTGGAAAGCCCTGGGGGGCAGACCTGACTCAACGATGCGCTTAACATCTTTTTAATATATTCATAAAATGGTCAGTGACAGACAATAAAGTGAGCTTTCCTGGCTTTTACAGAGAAACACCTGGGAAGGGTCTGGACAGCAGAAGGAAGGAACGAGCAAGGAGCTTCAGTCATTCTGCCGAGGAAAGTGGGTGCCTCTCTCCACTGCCCTGGGTCAAGAACAAAACGGAGTCATCTATTCAATGTCACTGCCAGTGCTTGTCCTCAGCCGTGCCTGTTGCTGTCTCCATAAAGCTCACGCCAGAACAAGTGCTAGAAGAGCTGTTACCCACTGGACACCTGCACCCCTCCCCACCCCTCACCCTTTGGAAGGGATCTTGCAGCAAAGCCTCCCCCCCGTAGAGCAACCTGCTCCCGCGTGAGCCCGTGGCCAGCTCCTCGAGCTGCGCCGTGGTGCCTGCTTCCTCAGGGTTTCCAGGAATCATCTTTTCTCCGCTGATACCCTGCTGACTGTCGGCGGGACAGAGCGAGGGAACAGCACGTTCACCCTGGCCCCCCAGCACCCTTCTCGCATCTTTGTGGGGAGGCGCTTGGGAGTCGTCCCACCGGGCCCACGGAGATGGAGCTGCGAGTCCCCTGTGAACGCAGCTGCCAGAGGCACTACCAGAGAGCGCACAATGCAGACAGCTTTACCCTCTCACGCCTTCAGTGGAAAGTTATTCCCTTGAAAGGAGTAACTTCCACCCTACGTTACATAAAGTGCCTCAGGATGCCCGGATGGAAGCAGCTGATACATGTCGTATTTATCCAATAACGTGTATACAAGGCTTACACATCATACAACGTCTTGCAATGCACACATATAGCACAATGCTGTGTACTCCCTCTCCTGCTGACAACCGGCAGTGGTCTTCCACAAAACTGTCCCCTGATGACCTACCGCACACTGCCCAATATTAACAGTGTGAGATCTCTTTCTTTATCTACCGATCCCCTCTCCCTGAGCAGGAGAGGTTTACTGTGTTACTAAACCTCAGAGGCAATCAGCATCACAACCCCAGGTCTGAACTCTTCCAAACTCTGTGAGAAATCAAAGCCCGTGCCAAGTTATCACAATGACCTTTTAGGTCTTTATAGGGTCCAACAGAACTCTGGACCCAAACCCAATGGAATTACAGACTCCTTAAAATAAAGATGCACGTTTCACATTTTGTGCCAGCTCCCTCCTTTCGTATTTATCCTCTCTTCTCTTGGTTCAGTGTCCTGTCTCACAGCTGCTGTAAATTCACCCTAAACACTACAGGCATACTTCTTATGCCCCTAAATACACTAGTTTCTTTCTAGATCAAAACTCACCAACCGAATGGAATTCTACGTACTGAGAACTTGACCTAGGACACCCTAGTTAGAGCCAACTTGACCGTACCCACTACCATGCTAGTACAATGAAATCCTTCCCCAAACCCATGTTTTCTCTGACAACCCTAAGCTTCTGCTGCTTGGGTCTCAAAGAAGCAGCATATGCTTGGATAGGATATTCTAGATTAGCGAAAACCCATCCCTTCCTTGTAAGCATCCATGTCACAACTGACATTTAATAAAACTGATCAAAATAAACTAACTGATTGTCTGGGTTGTTTTTCACTGCCTGTTGCATCTTTCCCCCTTCCTGCAAACCGCTGACTAAAAGATTTGAATTTCAGTATGTCTTAGTCAATATCGGTTTTTAGTGAGAAAACAAAACAATGCTGATACTGAACAGTGCCAAGAAACAGCTTATACTTTTGCAAGTAAAGATGCTGTACCATGCCACTTTCTACACCTTTGCATAACTTTATTGCTTTTGTACACACTACATTACTAACATGTTTTTCAGAATACAGTTTATCATACTAGCAGTTACCTTGTCCCACCGACATATAAAAACCTGTATTCTCAGTTCTTCAGCCAAAAATATCTTTGAACACTAAAACTTCATTTCCTTTCAGAAACACGTATCATATTAAAAAGCAGTGTAACAGACTGTTTAATTAAGATAAAGTGAGACAAAAGCCTGCTGCCTCTGGCTGTAATAGAAATGCCCAATATCCTCACACAACATACCACCACAGTCAGTTGGTTTTCCTTCTTATCGTGTCAGCTAGTCACAGTACTGTAAACTACAGCAAACAATTTATATAGTATTCACCACATTTGGTGTAGGACACCAGCACCATATCATCTCTTCTGGCTTCCAGGTTCTCCAGGGCTTGGAATGTTTCCACGCTGCACACTGTGACAGGATACGGGGTCCCGTGGTAGGAGAACAGCAGATCCTTCAAGGTAAGCCCCTCAGACTTTGCCAATGCTTTATTTATCTCATCAACAAAGGTTTTTTTATCCTCAGCCATATTTACCACCTTTGGGGTGTGGAACTGTTAGTTCAATGCAGTGCCTTTAAACTGACATTTTTAAGCGGTGGAGTAGAAATCCTTGGCATTACTTCTGCCCTCCCCCAAATTTGATACGCTTCTTTTTCTACTCCCTTCTCACCTTTCTGGAAATGGAAGCTGGGTTGATCCTGTCCGCTTACAAACTACAGAGCAGGGATTACTTTAGTAAGAAATCCCACTGAGAGCAACTAATACTTGCAAACTCAGCCACCTGGGAAAACAGAATCGGAAAAGGAATCGCCCTATAAGAATGAGCAGCAAAATATGTATCTAATCTTATATAGCATTAATAGGAAAAAAAGCATCTCACAAAGAAAATAAAGTCCCCAATAAAAAAAAAAAAAAAAGAAGAGATTTTGGCAATAAAGTCAGACCCATACAATGAGTTATGAGAGATAGTGAATAATAGAAAACAATTAAATCAAAACCATAAAACGGGAAGAACAATACTGAGAGGGAAGGGATGCTGCCATTTTAGGTTCTAAATACCCCCCGTGGGAGGCAGTCTGCACTAATGCTCTCTCTCATAATAAAAAGACAATTAAACACTGAGATCTTGCATGGCGTGTTTTTTTCAACACCCTCATCGTAGAGCTAGGATCCCTTTCTAACGGCCACACGCCCTACGGCTCTGGCAGTTTTCTCCTAGCAGGAGATGGGTGCTGGCTGCCCGGCCGGGCTCCCCCAGCAGATGAAGCAGGAGGAGAGGAACGCGGCCCTGAGGCGCGGGCCTCGCCCTTCGCCAAGCAGCGGGCACCCAGCCTGGGGCGACCCAACCAACGCGGGGAGGCCAGGCCCGGCCCCTGAGCTGTTGAAGCCGAGAACTGCCTTCCCTCTTGGCGGTGGTGGGCGCGCACGCTGCCAGCTCGCAGCTGAAAGGGCGAAGCGAAGCGAGGGGGAACCCCGGGGGAGCAGCAGGGAGAGGCGGTGGCGAGCGGGACCCGCTGCCGGCGGGCACCCAGAGCGACGCGAGCCCGGCCCTGGGGCGGCCATTACGGGAGCGGGCGGCCGCCAGCGGGAGGCGTGCGCATGCGCGGCCCGCCTGTGGGGAGGGGAAAGGCGGGCTCACCGCCCGCGGGCCGCCGGTAACGGAAGGGCCGCGCGGCCCGGGCATGGCGCGGAGCGCCGTGAAGGGGCTGCTGCTGCTGGAGGCGGCGGGGCTGCTCGGCGCCCTCCTGCTCTACCGCGCCATGGACCGCAGCCAAGGTGCGGGGAGGGGAGGGGGGAGCGAGGGCGGCCGGGGTCGCACTCCGCCGGGGGGTGAGTGAGGGGAGGTGGGGGGGGGGGTGGGGGGGGTGGCTGCCGGTGCCGCCACGGCGCGGGCGGCTTTTTGAAGAAAACCATCGTTCGGCTTGTGTTCGTGCTGGGTACGCAGGAGGCGCTTGCTACGCGGGTCCTCAAGGCCAAGCGGGCCGTTTTTTTTTAGTTTTCGAAACCCAGAACTGGTGGGGAGGCTTTTGAAAGGCAGCACGCGAGCACCAGGAGCAAAGCTGAATCTTGGGCGTTTTAATAGTAACAGCATCGGCCCAGATAGGGACATAAAAAGGGAGAGGCTGGCTGCAAATGAGGCAGCAATTGATCAATCCTGTTTCAGGAGCCTGGTGCTCAGCCATGGGTGGAAGCGCTCCCCTGGCTTGCGGCAGGTCTCGCTGGCTCTGTGATGTGACATTTCCCTGGCAGGAGGCAGCCCAGGTCATCTTCCAAACGATTTAGCTCCCAGTCCCTCAGATCCCTCGGACTTGTGATTCAGTGCCCGAGTAAAGCAAAACTAAGCCAAGCACCAACTTAGTTACTGCAAATAGATGGGCTCTGCCCAGCAGCGGCCTTCCTTTGCGTTCAGGGCTCTGCAAGGTGCGGTGCCGGTTTCCCAGACCTGTGCCCCTGCAGCCGGTCCTGCTGCCCACAGGGTCCCTGCGAGCCCAAAGGCACGAGCCCACCCGTTTCAGCAGTAGCGGGGGTCTGAGACCGAGGACTTCAAGCTGAACTTCACCCACACTATGTCAGTTTGCATTTGTTCTCCCAGGTTCAGATGGGCGCAGGCTGTTACAGGTCAGCTATCTTTCTTTGCCTTATTAAAGAATAAGTAACCAAAACACGGCAAATAGATGCATCAGCCTATCTCGGTAATGTGGTGCTGAGCATTCATGGCTTCTCAATTTCTCCACTTTTTCACTTCTAGGCCCTAGTTCTTATATAGCTTTGCAGAAGATCTTCTTAAGCTGTAGTTTGCGTGGTTCCCTCATCTGACAGCTCAAGGCTCTTACTGCTTTCTCTGTGCCAGTACTAGCATTGATAAGATCCTTCTAGGAGCTGCTGTATATCATTAAAATGGCATAAAGCTATCATTACATGATTTTCTACTGCGTTGCCAGAGCGGCCCACAGCAGGATTCAGTGAAACACCTAAAGCTGCATAAGGAAACAAGGGAGTTTTACCAATTTTCATTTGCGTGTCAGTCTACAAGAGGCATTCAGCTTCCTGTGAATCTGCAGCTTGTATTTGGTTATCACAAGTGTGAGGAAGCTCAGAAAGCACTATGATGATAGGGCTGCATATGAGTAACCCGAATACAGTCTACGATACAATTAAAAGTAAATTAAGATCACATTATTTAATGGTGGCTACAATTAAGGAGCTCAGATAAATTTAGGTAAACCTAATCTAGTTAGAAAAATAGTGCATTTAAATATTCATCTGAAAATATGTTGGGTAAAGTAACTGTGATTTATCTTTCTTGTCAGATTTCAGATATACAATGCAGAAGAGGTTTCCATCAGTTCTAGAAGGTAGGTTTGTAGTTGTTGGCTTCATCAGAAGGATGGCTGAAGCTTCTGTTGCATCTTACATATAAAACTGATTTTGTTATTGCTTAGAACTTGCAGAAGTGTTTATTGTTATGCATAGGTGTGGCTGGAGTGTCAGACTGCTGGATAGTCCTCAGAACTGGAGGACTATACATCCAACAAAACTAGCTCCAACGCGGCTCACCTTCAGACATGCCTAACTTACAGCTGATGGGGATTTTCCTTTTTTTCAGCGTATTACAAATCCAATGAGTGGTCTGGAATTCACGGCATAAGGGAGAATGACCAAATGACATGGTTAAGCAGCAAGAACTGAAGTAAGAAAGACGTGTGATTACTTAAAAAAATATTTTAAAATAATTACTGTAGAAATGTCCACAATAAAATGTCCAGTTTATCTTTTTGATTTCTTGCTTTTGTACTTGTTTTTCAGCCCTCTGTGCCTGAACTGTTTCTTCTTTTTGATGATGCTTTTCACATCCCTATTGTGAAGCCACTTGTCACGCTCTATTTCCCATTGGATCTGTTTGACATCTGTAAGAGGAAAGGTGAGAAATAAGGAGCTGATGGATACCTCTGAACATGTTGTGGAATCACGTAAAAGTTAAAACTTGGCTGCTGTATTTATAAACGTTAATAAAGTACAAGATGCCAGTTTTTATTGACACCAGAGAAAGTATTGTTTTTTCCATTTCAGGACACATATGCTACCATCTCAGAATCTCCCAGTTTAAGACCACTCTTGCCATTGCTTTGTCTTTTACTAATGCTAGGCACGCCTGTGCTAGGAGGACACAGGGTTTGAATGCTGCTGTTAACATTTTTCAGGTGATGTCAGCAAGACTTGTAAAAGCTCTACCAAGGGCTCATTATTCAATCAGTATATACACATGTAATTCATTAGATCTCTGGGAAACTGCTGCTTCACCAATACTGCAAGGAAACACTCCAGTAGGTAAAGACAGCCATGCCTTACGCCTTCCCTTCACAAGAATCCAGGGGACACTTTATCAGAGCAAACTTCACATGAATGCTTGACAAACACTATAGTGCCTGTCCACATTTACAGTGCGAAAGGGCCTCTTCCTCTTTTCTGAGGCCTTACTCACTCCAGTAGTCACAGTTAAGATTAGCACAGGGCATCTCATAACTGAAGAAAACCAAGTCATGTCTTGCTGACATGGAGCTACCATCCCCTACTGTGTGATTTCTGACCATGTGTGTATTTCAGTTAAAGAAGGTACATCTTTTTAGGTACAGGATCTGAAGAGGAAGTAGTAAAACAGCAGTACAACTCTCTGCTACTTCTGGCATTTACTTACTTGCATTATCCCGGTTGGCCATGGCATTCATTCCAATATTGTCAAACTTAGATCCAGCATTTTCATCCAGCAGATAGCCAAACTTTAAAGAGAGAAATTTTAGTATTTTATTACTAAGAAACATGTAAAATGCTGAATCGCTTTTTGCTAGGCTCTGATCAAACTCACCTCTTCTGCAGATGCGAGTATATTGGCATCTTTGCGTCTTCTCTTCTTTCTTTGGTTGGATCCTTCAAACAAAAAGTATTATTCTTATGAGACAGAATTCCAAGTTCACAAAGACACTAAAACAGTGTTACCATGTTTTGTTTTACTTTGGTTTTTAAATATTTATTTAATGACATCATCTAAAACAGCTGTGTTAGAAACCTCTATTCCCCACCTTCCCTGAAAAAAAAGGAAAAAAGTTTCCAACCAAGAACTAAATAGCACAAATTGTGCATCAGGTGTTACTAATAGATGCACAAGCCACCACTACAACTCCATCCTTCCTTCAACAGTCCCTCCATCGATTCCCAGTCCTTCAACAGCAGACTGTCACTCTGAATTAGTGCGTGCTGGCTGGAGAACAACCTCCTTTTCATTTATGGTTTACTAAATCTGGACCTAGATCCAAAAGTGTAGATGATCTATGGTACTAAAACCCTCTGATTCCAGAGTTTTTCAGACTCTCTATTTGTATTAAGCCTTCTCAAATGGAAATCATGGCAGCATTTCCTTACCTTCAAGTGATCCCACAAAATTCTTATCTTTCTTTCTCTTTTTACTGACAGACTTCAATTGCTTGTCACTGTTCAGGTCTGAAAGGAAAAAAAAAAAAAAAAAAAAAAACATCAATCCCTCATTCTCACACCATGTGCATGTATTTAAAGCACAACAGAGACTAAAATTTCTTTTTAGGCACATTTGTCATAATGGTCCATAATGTTTTAAACTTTAAAAAAGTTTAAAACAAAGTGCACACAACCGAATCTGGGATTTCTTCAACCCAGACAAAACTTGGTCACTGGGTGCATTCTTTATGCTTTTTTTTCCATAGCACCAGAAAGGAATGAAATAGGATACTAAGACACATAAAACATGAAAGCTAAAAGCAGGTGTTATGTAAACCTCGAATGTTTACTTGGTAAATCTGGTGAAATAATAATCTCATGAAAGATTAATATGTTAACAGTTATATGAATAGTTCACCTCCTCTACCTTCAATCACCTTCCTGTGACCTTAAGTTCTTAGTTGAAATATTCCATTAATCTGTGATTGGCAGCCACATAAAATGTATACTGTGTAAACTGTGCTTTTCAGTTGAAAAGATAATAAACCCATCAGGTGCAACCATTAGTTATTCTTACAGCAGTAGTAAAAATTTGGGTGCATAGCTGTATTAAGAGAGTAAGCTGTTACTTATGAGACAGCAATTTAAATAAAAGCCACCTCATCTAAAAAAAAACCCAAACCAAAACAAAACCAAAAATCAACATTAACTAGGTCTAAAGAAATAAAAAACTTACCAAGTACCAGAATTTTATTTTTCTTTTTGATATTTTATTCATATTTCTGCCTACTGTAGCCAGTTATTTGTGTATAAAGCTACTTCTGTTACTGCCAATGTTTTCAGAATGAAAGCAACATGTCTTGTTTGCAAGTTTTTATACCCAGATGCCTAATTTCCACTCTCACCTATGAGACTGTGCCAAGAAATGTTTCTCTTAAGACTTCATTATCCAGAGAAGGACTTCTTGTTACTACTTCTTTACTTAAAAACCAAACCTCCTACCCAGGTAACGAAATCTGAATTTATGTATGTAATTACATATTAGATAACCTACTTTTGAAGTTTTTTCTTCTTGTTTTTCAATAATAAATGGTATTTTACCTAGGCTGTTCCCATCGTCAGACACATCCATAAATACACCTCCCTCTTCATCCATATCCTCTCCAAAGTCTTCCTCCATACTTCCTAAGGAGACTTCCTCATCATCCAGATCACTGAATTCATCTTCATCATCAGAATCCTCCCAGTCAGCACTGGATTCCTCACTTCTTTGGCCTTTCTTATCGCCTTTGGTTTTCTTTTTTATATTACTAAAAAAAAAAACATAACAAGCTTACCACTCCATCTGGCAAAATACTGTTTGCATTCAGATAACATCTACCAGCAAACGCTATGTTAGAAAAGTTCAACATCACTGCAAACTATTGTAAATGTAGGCTGTGACCTAAGAAACATGTATTATGCACTCAGGTATGTTTTCAACATCACCATATGGAACTGTACTATAAAAGTCAACCATTTTAAGAAGTTCCGGAGAGAATCCTATTCTGAAATCAAAATACTGAAGCCAACATTTCTGTTATCTCCTGTGTGCCTTTGCTCCTTTTCAGAAAGTCTTTTCTGTAAAACACAAACTGCTGGTATCCCTAGCAACTTGACTAAATGGAGAAATAAGGGGTTTTTTTCCCTTAAGAAAGGCAACGTGGTTCTTCATGGACTAGATGGTTACTTGTTTTTTGTCTCCTCTTTGCTATTTTTCATTCACACTAGGCTGGATCACAAAAACGTTCTGGTTTCACACGAACTTTAAGCTTTAATTCTCCTTTCATCTCAAGAAAAAAAAGAAAGTTTCTGTGTAGATTCAAAAGCTGGATTGCAGATACTTTAAGTAAAATAGAGGCTACTTAAACATTCATGGTTGGACTCTATGATCTTAAAAGTCTTTTCTTTTGATTCTATTCTTAAGTGATTCTATGATTCCACGATTACTGAAACTGCTGACTTCCTGAGAATTCAGCTCTGTGATTCTGGATTCCACACAAAGTTAATTTACTGCATTAGGTCCAGTTATAACCAGTCCTTACAGCAGCAGTACCATTACGCCTCATTCCACTTACTTTTGTACTTGTTAATTCTCAATCAGAAACCAGAGACAATGAAAAACAAGTAAGATTTTACCTTGCTTAGTGGGTCACTGCATTGTATAAATAAATACCACAGGTCTCACGTGTCAAGCCAGCAGGCTGTAAGCACCATAGGATCAGCATGCTTCATTATGGGCCATGCAGAAAAGCAGCATTACCCAGCATTCAGCTGCTACTGCCTTTTTTGCAAGGTGATATTCTGAGTCTTTTTGAAAAAGGTCTATCCAATTTTACAGAGTAAAACCCTATGTAGGTATTAAAAACAAGAGATGAAAGAACCAATTTAAAGTCTTACCCAGCAAAATCAAGGTCATCCTGGCCAAGATCAAGAGCATTATCAGCAGCTTCAAATGTATCTAGAGGGAAAAAGTTGTTTATTACTACAAAACAAAGTCAAACAAAGAAATACAAAGTCATTGCAAAACGTATTATTTTCAGGTATCAGCTTCCTGAACCATTTATATGATCTGCATCAGGAACAAAGAGCCCAGATACTAAAGGGTTCATACTCCTGTAGAAAAACACTCCACAAAACACTTACCTAAAGCCAGCTGGGCTTTTTCCAGGGTGTAATTTCTGGCCAGAATTAGATGGTGTGGGAGGCAGAGACACAAATGGACACACGGTTACCCAGTGATTCAACTTAGTTGGCAGGTGGGATATCACAGGTCGCAAACACTTGCTCCAAGTCAGACAGAACTCAAGAGATGCCAAGCAAGTGTCCTGCCAGCTAACCTGTATGTTACTTTTCAGATTTAAAATATTCACTGTAATTTTTGACAGACTTTGTGGTTTTTTGTTTGTTTGTGGTTTTTTTGTTTGGTTTTTTTTTTTTTTTTTTTTTGACAGCAAGCAGACTAGAGGGTGAGCTCCTATCATCAGATTCACTTAGGAACAAATTGGTATATAAAATATCAGGTAAAAACAAAATCTGAAAAATTACAACTGTTCCTGTTTCAGAGAGTAAAAGCTAACATTAGAGAAGGTCCTTAAGTTAAGATTCTGAATTTATGGAGCAAATTCTCAGAGACAGTTAACTTACTAGAGATACTAACAACAAAATGGCAAACACAATTAGTAACAGATTCTTGTCATAACTGAGACCATACTAATCGTGTCAGTAAGGAAGAATCCTACTATGGGAGTCTAGAATATTGTACAAAACAGTTATGGACAGCTAACTGGATTTTTTTTTTCTTTTATATGCATATATTAAAGTAAAATATGAATTCATAAAATAACGGACATTTTATGGTACACTAACAAATTTAAATTCTGGAACAAATCACACACTGATTTCAAAGCAAACAATGTATATGCTACAGGAGAGGCAAGACTACTGCAGAAGTTTGCCAAGGACCTAAATGAACAAATAATCTCATGAAAGTTGTTAGAAACGATGAGAGAAACTGTAAGGAAGATTGAA